TTACGATGTTTTACTACGTATGGCGCACTATAAATTTCCGGAATGAATACGAAAAAAATACTATAAATGGTCAGAATTTATTGTTTTTATTCAAAATATTCTCCGTTAGCATTAATGCACTTTTTCATACGAATGAACCAATTTTGAAAACACTTAAATTTTTGGAAATAATAAAAGTCACAAGGTGCCAGGTCGGAACTGTACACGGGATGGCTCATAAGGTCAACGTTGTTCACCTTCAAAAATTCATTTGTCTGTCTGGCCGTGTGAGAACTGGCAATATCGTGGTGCAAGATGATATTCGGCATTTATGGTTATTTTTACGGACTTTGTCAATAACTTCCGGCAAACAAATGGTCGTGTACCAATCACTATTCAACGTACATCGGTTCTCCAAAGCAACAGTAGCCACGTGTCCAGTTTTATTAAAAAAAGAAGCAATCATCCGCTTAGACGCACTTCACACGCGCGCCACTTTGGTTGGTTTCGGCTTATCTTGAAAGACCCATACGCTCGATTGCTGCTTTGTTTTGGGATCGTAACTATAAATCCATGTTTCGTCACCTGTTACTATGTCCCACACCAAATTTGACGCTCCTTCGTTGAATCTGGTACGCGTGGCATTCCACCAAGTGACGCGATCCGTTTTTTGAGCCTCAGTCAAATTGTGTGGGATCCACCGAGAGCACAGCTTTTTCACACCCAAATGTTTGTGTAGTATGGATTGTATTTGACTCATGCTTAAAGATGCCCGAATCTCATGGTATGTCACATGCCTGTCTGTTTTGATCATAGGGCGCACAGCATCGATGTTTTGTTGTTCACAGCTGTGGACGGGCGATCATCACGAAATTCGTCACTGAGATTCACACGACCGCGTTTTAATTCTGTAAACCAGCTATAAATAGTCGTCTTGCATAGTGTTTCACCGCCAAAAGCAGTTTGAAGCCGAGCGAAGCTCCGCTGAGCTGTTAAATTAAACTTAAAGTCGTAGAAAATCATACTACGAAAATATTTACGAGTTAAATCCATGGTGATATAGACAACCAATTTCTAAAATGACGCCAGTGCAAAAACAAGTGACAGTCAGATGAAACAAACTGTATTCTACAGCAAAAGAGTTCCATTTTCAAATGTAGTAATTACTTTTTAAATATTGTTTATGTAAGTGGCCAGTTCCGGAAACTCATAGTGCGCCCTATGTTCCATCAGGGCTCCGTCACTTCCTCAAGGTTATGCGATAAGTGCCTACCGCTGAGTGCGCCGATGTCGACGAAGCTCTCATATAGATCTTTCATTTATGAGCATTGGGTTCCGCACGACTGCACACGGCGGGCAACGTTCTTTCACCTATCTGAGCGCGTGCTTAGATTCCTTTTTCCGCGTCGTGATCGCCCAGTTTCATTAGCCAGGTTTAGTATACGCTATTATAGCATAGGTAGTTTCGATTTTGTATGAGAGTGATGTATATATTACGTAGTAAATTTTAGGTCATCGCTGCTACCATGATATTTATTTACTTTTGAGAAATTACTCCATTAGTTTGTTGTAATTATTAATACAAAGATCGAACACAAAGAAAAATTCTTTCGATCCGGCTGGACTTCACTCAAACCAGATCATTCACCGTACCGTAGCTGACGCTCTCCCAACTGAGCTACGAATCGAACCAGTAAACCGTATGAATTTTTCTATGTGCTTGTTGCATTTTGGTTTTAAGAAAACTTACCAGGCACAGGGTAAGCAGTGAGCTCCAATATCCGTCTCTTCCTGTCCAGCAGTGGTCTCCTATGCAACACTCTAATGGGGGTTTTCTGGCTTAAGAGCATCCTAGCACCTTCTGATGGTTCTGTGTTACAATACGTGTTCAGAAGTTCTATGTCTGCCGGGGTCACTGCGATTGGTGTGTCCTCGTTTCCCTGTAGAAAAGTACTTTAAATTGAGTATTAGTTGTTTTATTTTCATGGCTTTGGATTCTTGGGATACTTAAAAAAATATTTATTTTTTCACCTCACTAGCTTGGAAAGGCTCTCTTTCTCATTAGAAATCAGAGCGTAAAAGCCATTGACTTACAAATAAATGGACGACGGATCTAATACAAAAACCACGAAAAAAATGTCCCAAGTCAACCTATTTAAACGTAGTGACATGTCAAGGAATCTGAAAAAGCTAAAAACAAAACGTTGAATTTAAATTGTAATGTCATCGCAGTACTGTCTAGTCTAATTTTGCTTGCTTCGCTGTCAGTCGAACAAACGAAGACTAGAGCGTGAATGACGTTCTGTATACGATTTTAACTCCCTGTAAGTTCGGACACTTTTTAGCGCGGACCCGACGTCCATATAATTGTAAGTCAATGGTAAAAGCGTTTGAAATTCGAACTTGACGATGGATTGTGGTGCACCTAACTTTTTGTTTCAATGAAAAAAAAACACCATGACACTTTTAACTACGCGATTTGTCGTACATTATTTAAGTAATGTAAATCCGTTGGTATATTTTATTCTTATTATTGTTGACATTAAATTGACAACGATAACTAATTTTGTTTATTAAATATTTTTTTGTGTACGAATGAATAAAACTGATTTGTTATATGTAGTTCAACTGTTTTTCTTTCATTTACCATTTTCCTCGCTATAGTGAGGTGAAAAGATGTGTGCTCGCTCGGCAGCAAAGTTGTTTTGCGTCTCGTGGCTTGAAAGCCTCGCTACACTCACTTGCGGCAAACGACAAATTTGCAACCTTGTATAATAAATACTATTATGACTCGGTTCATGTGCGTACCCAGGTTCTGGGCCAGGGGGCAAATCAGTTTTTTTTTAAGCCGAGTTCCGTTCGCTTGTTTTACCTTACATAATAACCAAATACAAAGATCCGACAAACAAGCACCTAGAGAAATTCGTGAGGTCCGCTGGCTCCATTCTGACATTCAATAAGATATTTAATTGAATATCAATTCAATATAAATTTATGTATATATTAATAAAAAGTAATAATATATTTGTCCAAAAACACACCTTAGACTTATAATACAGTACAGAGAAGAAATTTAGTGATTAGAAATGTAAACAAAATAAAATAAAACAAACAGGTAGAAAGGCGTAAAAAAGACCAGTGGCGCCAGTGCGCCTAAACTAGACGAGTGTCTGTGTCTATGGGACAAGGACACTTGTCTACATCATTCATCCGACCCTTTAATGCAGCAAATAGAGCAAGAAGCACATACCGCACTTTGTTCATCATTGGCAGAATGTCCCAGTTTAATGCACAACGCTTCGTAAGTTTTGCATTTCGTTTCTTCACCTTTCTTCAGTTGGGTCAACTCGTCTCTGGTGGAGGAAATAAATAATTGAACGTGGACATGGACCAGCGAAGAAAAAAACAATGGAAGTGCTAAGGCACGCCTTTTCAAGCCTCGATTACTATGAGAACCGATGTCGCCAAAACTCATACATTCTTCATTTGAAACACTACAAAGTCTTGATATTGATTGGTCGTAGTTTCATATTTAAAAAGAAATAACAAATTCTGGATCGTTAAATAATTTAAACTTTACCCTGTTGGCATATCGTTGAAAGTTCAATAATATAATGCAATATTTTTGAAAGTTACGGCGTTTTGATATTATATTGAAATTTCAATCAATGTGCTGCCATCTAGCGGTTATATTGCTGAACCACGACGAATTGGAGTTATGAATTTAGTTCTCCAAAAAAGAAGTGACCATATTGCAGGTGTATAAGCTTTACTTTCGTTTCTTGTAACAAAAAAATTATTTCAATAAATAGAAAATTTATTAATATTAATTAAGACTTTCCGATGATATGAAACACCGCCACGGGTAATATTTTCCAAAACAGCACAATAAGGCATTTTTGTAGGATTTTAGAGAATTTGCACGAAAGAATGACACAACCATACCATACAAAGCTAAAATGGCGGACTGAGCTCAGAGAGATCTTGACCCAGATTTGGCACGCGTCAGACGCTAACTAACCACTTCTACTGTATTTATTGTTCTGTGACATGGACCAATAACCCAAGAGGACTGTTAATCGCGATACAAGACTGCGTAGTCAGGTATTTAGTACCTATTGGTACACCAGATGTCGCGACGAGTACCAAGTAGCTATTTTTGTAACTAATTTGTTTTACATTGACGAGATTTATCAAAGTTACTAATTATAATATAATATAATACTAATTTCATAGGTAAGGACCTAAGAATAGTCCCAGACACCACCACCAGAAATATACCCGACATTTATTTCGCCTCTCATAATAAAGACTCTGTAAATCTGAATCTGAAAACTAAAATCGTCAAAAAGAAAGATGGCGAAAGCTGCCCCAATAACGACGAAGAGCCGTACATGGACTTTGCTAATATAATTTTGCGTTTTAGTTTATGCCTAGCGTCGAGTACATAACCAGAAATAGAGACGAAATGTCATTTAATTTGTTTGAAAACTATTCTGCCATATCATTACCGTGACAACTGCGCTCCGATTGGCCAGCCCAAGTTCGAAACAATTGACGGGTGTCGTCAACTGTTTCACTTCAAATCGACCAGTTAACTTGAGCTTTGCTATAATGGACGAAAATTGCAAAATTGCATATTTAATATTTAATTACCGATGAAATGTGATTCCGTTTGTTTTGTAATTAGATGTTTTGCTGTTTTTCCCACACCACCGAATGGAACAGCCACCCATTATTAGAGATATTATCTTTATTACAATAAACACATAATATTTTTTGAATATACAGAGACGTACACACAGGTCAGTTGTTGGCGTTGTACTATTACAGTTTTCTAATTTGTGATTTCAGCGCAAACGAGAGTTGATATTTAAAAGTGATATAAGGCCCATTTACCTGATGAGTTGTCAGGGATGGATGGCCCTTGTTTCGTCTCCATTTTTGGTTATACATATACTTGATGGACGAAAACAAAGTACATGTACGCAACAGCGAATGGGTTTCGAAATGTATAGGTTTTGACGTTTTTTTATACTGAACATTAAAATGACTTTCAAATATGATGGTCAGGGGGCCAGCACCCGGTACACGCCAATGAGGAAATTTCACATTACAAAACAAAGAACTTACTTGGAGACGTAAACCATACTTTTAACGATGACGTTTCCACTCTTGGAGATGACGTCACACGCCTGCTGCAACTCCTCGGCCGTTAGCTCCCGTCGGGGGTCAGTGATCTGCACACGGACAAAACTAACGACACTATCCACTGTGGAGATTCGTTATCTTTGCCTACCTCGATGGGAACAGCTATCCATCATCATCATTAATACATTTATACGTTCCACTGCTGGGCACGGATGCCGACCGGAAGACGTTCAGTGGGTCGGCCCCTTGCTAGATGGACGGATGACCTAATAAGGGCGGCGGGTAACCGATGGTTGCACGTCGCGTCCGATTGGTTGGTCTGGAAATCTTTGGGGGAGGCCTGTGTTCATCTATTTTTCTCTCGCCTCTCTCAAGGCCTAAAAGATTAATTTTTAATTTTTAACCGACTTCAAAAAAGGAGGAGGTTCTCAATTCGACTGTATCTTTTACTCCGGTATTTGTGAACCGATTTTCATGATTCCTTTTTTGTTGGAAAGGGAGGAATTCCATAGTTGTCCCATTTCATTTTGAAGAAAATCATCCACCTCTAAGGGTGGCTGTTCACGCATGAAGATTTATTTTTATAAATACTTTTAACTGCCTCTGTGGCCGAACGGTTACCGGACTGCCATGCAGAGGTCCCAGGTTCGATTCCCAGGCCGGGAGAAATAGTTGTATGGCCTACAATTATTTCTCTCGTGAGTTTAGGTGTAATTTGTGGTTGTCTAGGTGTGTGTCCATAGCACCCGCGACACAGGGTTTCCCTAGTGCGGGGCTATTTTTATATATAACGCCTAAATTTTACTTAAGGAGCAATTATTTTAATGGCTGATTTTGCTATTTCTCCAATTCAAGGAGTTTTTCTCTCAATATATTTTGAGCAGTGAGAACCGATTTTTATTATCTCCAGTGTCAAGTCGTGTATAGTGGCGAATTTAAGGATATTTCACTAAAACTTAGCAAATAGACGTAATTCCACGTACTTTTGAGGTCGGTTTTTTTAGTACTCTGTACTGAGATTATAATTTTTTTATTATTATTACTTCGGTACAAAGTTAAAAAACGCACTCCGAACACCGTCGCGTGTCGCGGAGCTGCGTGATAATCTAATCGAAATATCTACTTTAAATTGAAATTTAAAGTAGATATTTCGGCTTTAGTACCTCGATGGCGAAAGGCCTTCCCTCGCCAAGGCATCTGACATCGACGTCCTCTCTTCCAGCAGATATCAGCTTCAGCCTGGACTCGGCTTCTTCAGGCGTCATTCTGTTCATATTATTTATAAGATGCGACAAATTTATTTAGTAGCAGTAGAGCTCCTTGTGAAAGAGATCGATCAGGGTGGTACTGCCACCTTACTTATTTCTGCCGTCAGGCAGTAATGTAAGTCTCATATTAGGTTGGTTGTGCAGTGAGGTATTTGAGATGTCATCAGGGTGATTCACGTAATTAAACCGTTACGATATCGTAGCGATTTAGTCGTTGAACTGCTTTTTCGTATTCACGTGTGACAGTGAACGTCGAGTCCAATTTTAAAGTTGTTCGATCCAAATGTCGTTAAAGCGTATTCTGGTATATGGTTCGAACTTAAATCGACTCTAAACGACAAGTCATACGTATTCTGCTAAAATTTTGACAGTTCTTTCAATAGACTTTCGAAGATTAAATGTCAAATTTCACAATCCAAGATGTCTGATTCTACTCATATCAACGTTCGTTCAAGTGATACGTGTATACCCATTTTGGATAGGACTTCGATCGAACGACTACGTAACTTCAACGATATTTTGATAGCTTGAACTTACGTGAATCGCACTACTGGTTAGATAGCGTGTTTATTCGTTCATGATGCAAATAGAAGTGAATTAATAATTCAATTACAATATAAATAATCTTATGCCTACTCAACATTTCCTTCGATACGCAACCCAGTGACAGGTGAAATGGGACTTGTCAATTTATGTCTCAGGGTGACGGGCACAATGACATTTATGATAACATGTGCCGGGACACGTCGGTCCACATCATTTGCAGTGCCACTCAGAGCTTTAAACCGAAAAGATCTGATGGGCATTGTCACGCAGTTTGTTAGAAACCCGAAGCCGAAGGCTGAGGGCTTTAACGCCTGGAGGTTTGTAATTTTACCACCCGTGTTACATAAAAAGTTTTTCATAACATTTGCGTGGAAATAGATACAACGATAAATTATTTCTTGTATGAATAAATATCGCTTCACAACACAACATTTACGTATTTTACAAATGGCGGTGTTTTGTATAAAAGAACTCAAACTAAAATGTTATAAAAGGCGCAGACGCATGCAGCCACAATGTATTAGATGTAAAAGAAATCATTTCCAAATTATAAAAGTACTACTGAATTTGAATTCATAAAATTAATTTAGTAAAAAACGGTTAAATTGCAAAAGTTTAGATTTTTTATACCTCAAGTTAATCGACGCCTCCTACGTAAAGTATCGTCTGTCGAAATTGCCAAGTTTACAGGGGAGTGTTTTAAAGTTCTCCGTTTCATTCGGCAAAGCTTGTTACTCACATAGAGTGATCATCTAATAGATCATCTAGCCGATATCTAGGATTTTATGGTACTCAACGTGTGTAACGAGATTTGCCGAACAAAAGTGAGAAATCTAAAGTCACGTGTTATGCTTATTTCAGTGAATTCAGAACTTTAAAAGGCTCCCCTGTAAACTTGGCAATTTTGACATACGATACTTTACGTGGGAGGCGTCGGTTTATGCGAAATATACGTTTAGAGTTTTCGAGCATAAAAAAATTTTGCTTAATCTTGACGTAAAAAATCCACAGGGCGATAAAGTAATGAAAAAGCCCGTGGGCATAATTTAGGACATTACGGTCGACTTTGCCTGTATGTCATGACACTGTTTACGAGCAACTGTGATGAAAAGTTTCATCAAAATCCTTACCCTTCAAAAACCGGAACGCAATAATGCTGACCTTACCGCTTGGCGGCAGAAACTCCCTGGACGAACTCTTTCACAAGGAGCTCTACTAATACTAATCAGGTACAGTATGAAATGTTAGCAATACAATTCTCACCCGAGTAGTTCCATGAGCGGCTCGAAGAGCGTCTGCTGAACAGAGCCCGTGAGGCCCCCTCCGCCCCCTTCCACATCTCCCACCAGCCATGGCGTTTGGGGAAGGCAGCGGGACAGCTTTATATACCTGTGTAGTAATTTAAGCCATTTCGAAAAAGCTTTACATCTATTTGATGACCTTCGTGATCGAATAGCTTGCACACTGGTTTTCATTCGGTTCGATCCCCGACCGGGTCAATGTAGAAAAAACAAATATATATGTCTCGGGTCTGGGTGTTTGTGGTACAGACGTCAGAAAACAAAAAGTAACGAGAATGGACACTCCCGCCCCTCCCTAATTTTAGAAAACCCATCACTTCCCCGCACATTGACGGTCACATCGACTCCTCCTACGTAAAGTATCGTATGTCGAAATTGCCAAGTTTACAGGGAAGTGTTATAAAGTTTTCCGTTTCATTCGGCAAAGCTCGTTGCTCACATAGAGTGATCATCTAATAGATCATCTTACCGATATCTAGAATTTTATAATACTCTATGTGAGTAACGACCTTTGCCGAATATAACTGAGAAACGCTAAAGTCACGTATTATGCTTATTTCAATGAATTCAGAACTTTAAAAGGCTCCACTGTAAACTTGGCAATTTCGACATACGATACTTTACGTGGGAGGGGTCGACATTGACTGAACGACAACGAGGCTGGCGGCGAGCCGTTTTCGCGCTAAGACGGCTTTGATATTTGAATACAGTCTTAGAAACTTGTACGGTAATATATAACATTATTGTACGTTACTATTTATAATAATCGTGAATTGTGTTGTGTACGGCTGTAAAGAAAGGAGCTTCTTTCGTTTTCCGGAAGATGAAACGAAGTAAAAAAACTTATGTCAGTTATTATTTCCTTCATTTATTTAGTGCAGAGTAATATATAATACATATTTATTATATCAATGTAACGAGACACCATAAGTTCGTGACCTAGTAGACAAGGGTTCTCGAATTTTCAAATTGTATTTATGTAGTGAATATGCCTAATTATTAACTAGGTGACCTTGGACACGCAATTTCAAATAAGAACCTTGGGTAATTTAATTAAAAGTACCTATCCAAAATATAACATTTTAAGTGCTTTTAATATATTTTTAAATAAATCTTCAATATTACTCTAGTTAGGGTATTAAAGAAAAATACAATAATATATCGATATAAATACTTATTAGACATTCATAATTAATAGGATTCTATTAATAGAATCAAAGATAACAGATTCGCGTTAGAATTTTCGCTATGTTGCCGCTCTGATCGCGTAACGCAATAATAGTACGAGAAAGTGATGGGTAACCCTGCCACTTCACGCATACATTTGCGCGTGTGCAGATAGCGCCTTGCTGTATGTAGTAGTAGTAGGTAAATAACTTTCGGCCGTTGTATGGAGTGTCCGGGGTGTGCTGTCGTTGTTTCCGATTTCCATAACACAAGTGCTTTAGCAACTTACTTTAGGATCAGAGCAACGTACTTGAAGCGCATTATAAGTTTCGGGAATGAATGAGAAAGAAATATTATAAATGGTAAGAAATGAATTTATTGTTTCTCAAAATATTCTCCGTTAGCGTTAATGCACTTTCTCATACGGATGAACCAATATTAAAAACATTTATCAATGTCACCGAGGAGCAAATAAACCATATGTAACCTGCACTTAGAAAACTTCGTGAGATCCGCTGTTTCGTTCCGTGGCTTAGTTGGCATAGCGTCTGACACGGTATGCTAGAAGACGTCGGTTCGAATCCGGCCGGATCGAAGGAATTTTTTCTAAGTATTCATTCTTTGTATTAATTATAAAAAACGTACAAACGTACGTGATGTTGTCCAATATTTATTAAAATGACAAATATTCAATAGCGAAAGTGGACCGTACCTGCCTCCCAAATACATAGGCAGACGTGTCCAAACAGCGCTGGCGCATTCCGCCGCTCCCGCCACTCGCGGCACGCCGTCCCTCCACCCCTCCACCGCCCCGAACATGCCGGCGGTGACGTCACGCAACGCCTGTTCCACCGCTGGACGCGTGAAGGTCGTTATAAAACGTCTGGCTTGTTTGCTTCGAGCTTCGAAGAGAGATGGCGACAGGGTTTTCAGTATTTCCAGTTCCTGAAAAATCGCAAACATAGACAATTCAAATCGTCGCCTTGCTTTCTAAAACTCGAATCTTAAATCACATAGTAACTGAAACGTAAAAAATGCATTGCATAATATACATTTTACAGACTGATTTCACACATTTCCTTCATATTCACACACTGGCTTTTATCTATTCTTAAAGTAATGCATCCAAGTTAACACCCTTTGTATAATTTAAAAACAAAAGCAAGTTTTGCCATCTGCTGAATAATCACTCTTTATGTGATACGTGTTTGAGAAAATGAGACATCGAAGTGTATCTTTATTTCATAGGTAAACAAATTACTTGAAATCGTGTACATTAAAAATAATTTAGTAGCAGTCAGCTTCTTATGAAAGAGTTCGTCCAGGGAAGTACTGCCTTACCTTACTTGTTTCTGCCGCCAAGCAGTACTGTGAGCATTACTGTGTTTCGGTTTTGAACGGTAAGAGTGCTGGTGAAATTACGTACACATGGGACCTTGTCAACTTATGTCGTCTCAGGGTGACGGGCGCAATGGCAGTGAATCATATCTTTGCTATTTAAACATTGACTTACAATAGGGAATCGGACAATTTTTCAGAAAGTGTCTAGAATTAACTAAAATAGATATGTACAGCCATGAAAAATAATATTTTATTAAAATAAAGCTTAATAGTCTCTAAAATGTGCTAAAACTACGTTAAAATTTAAATGGAAACAAATTGGCGCGCAAACGTAACAAAATGTCAAATTGAACGCGTGACGTCATTTGTAGGTAAACAAGCCACGATATCAAGGGCAAGGTGTTATTTTAAAGTTTTTGTGAAGTTTGAAGTCGTTATGGAACGGAAAACATATCGTTGGTGTGTAGTACCTCAATGTAGGAATACTTCTATAACTACCCCAAATAAACTATTTATTGATGTACCTCGAAAATCCGACATACGTTATTTTTTTCGAATTTTCAAAAATTAATATATCGAAAACTATTAACGTCCTAACTTTGAAACTTTGCACGAAGGGTCCCCCCTTCCCCCACCCCCCTCCCGCCCCTCAAATCGTGCGATGGTAATGTACAGTCCTTCCATCGCATGTAATTTTCCATATCATTCGGCAGCTAAAATTCGAATACATAATTATTACATTACATAATTAAAGGCACTGGCGAATATAACACAACATTTACTATTTAATTATTAACACATGCTTCGATCTATGTATCACTCACTGCATAAAGTGTACTTACGTCGAAGTGATCCTCACAAAAGTATATCGCTGAATTTACAGACATTTCGTCGTGCTAGGACCAACCATTTTTTTCGTATGTCGGATTTTCGAGGTACATCAATAAATAGTTTATTTGGGGTAGTTATAGAAGTATTCCTACATTGAGGTACTACACACCAACGATATGTTTTCCGTTCCATAACGAATTCAAACTTCACAAAAACTTTAAAATAACACCTTGCCCTTGATTTCGTAGCTTGTTTACCTACAAATGACGTCACGCGTTCAATTTGACATTTTGTTACGTTTGCGCGCCAATTTGTTTCTATTTAAATTTTAACGTAGTTTTAGCACATTTTAGAGACTATTAAGCTTTATTTTAATGAAATATTATTTTTCATGACTGTACATATCTATTTTAGTTAATTCTAGACACTTTCTGAAAAATTGTCCGATTCCCTATTATATGGACGTCGGGGCCGCGCTAAAAAGTGTCCGCACTTGTAAGGCGCTAAAATCGTATACAGAGCGCCAAACTCCGCTTTAGTCTTCATTTGTTCTACTGACAGCGCGATACTGCGATGACATTACAATTTAAATTTCGAATAGGTTGACTTGGGACATTTTTTTCGTGGTTTTTGTATTAGACCCGTCGTCCATTTATTTGTAAGTCAATGTATTTAAAGCTCTGAGTGACACTGCAACTGCTATGGACAGGCGTGTAGCTTACCATCAGGCGCACGACTTGATTATAAAGAAAATAGAATAATAATAATATTAATAAAAGCTGTAATTTTAAATACATGCCACATCGTCAGAAAGTTCATGCAGATGGAAGAGGACGAAGTAGGATCTTATTACACACCCACCACATACTCGTAGATACACGCCATACTGCATTTGCTTGACTTAGGTCCGTAAATGTGGTTCAAACCAATTAACAAGCTTAGAAGACTAAAGACAATAATAATAAAAGGTGGTTAAAACCAGCTGAGGAGAAATAGCAGGAAAAATAATAATAATTGTAATTTTTAAATTTTTATTGAACGTCACCGACTTCAAAAAAGGAGGTTTTCAATTCGACTGATTTTTTTTGTATGTATGTTACGCTATTTATTAACGCGGCTTGCAACTTTTGTGGAATTATATCTATTTGACAAGTTTTATTGAAATTACTTAAAGCAGTGCGCGAAACCGAATTCATCCCCTAGTTTGCCATTAGGGGTGGAATATTTTCTTCAAATTTAAATGGGACCAGTACTGAGGTACCCTCTTTCCAACAAAAAAAGAATCATCAAAATCGGTTCACAAATACCAAGTTATCGCGTAACAGACATACAAAAAATAAGTATTTATATAATTTATAACAATTTAATTATTATATTATTTTTATATTATTTTTTTCCTTGTTTTGTTGTGCACATATCTTCTTTTAGTTAGTGTCCTGTATTTAGGTCTGCAGGAAGAAATTGCTATTAGAAATAAGCAGAACCTTTTCTTTTTAATTTCGCTTGTATTGTTTGTGACTTGTTGTATTTTTCCTGTACAATAAACTATTAAATAAATAAAAAATAAAAACAGCCGAATTGAGAACCTCCTCCTTTTTTTAAAGTCGGTTAAAAATGGCTCTTTAGCCCTTTCCAGAAAACACCGACGATATATAAAATATTCAATGGTTTCTGGATTTGCCGTACCCTAACTTACCACGGCTAAGTGACAAAATATTTTTTTGAAATATCATAAAAAACCATAATCCAGTTTAGGAATATCAAAATTGTTCGATGATTTTTCAGCTATGGATTGTTAGGGTAAGTTCCGATAAGTCTAACACGTTAACTAATTTTAACTGTATTTTAAATTTTTATTGAATTGATATTCAATTGTATTTTTTGTGAAATTACTCCACTAGTTTGTTATAATTATTAATACAAAGATCGAACACTCAGAAAAAATTCCTTCAATCCGGCCGGATTCGAACCGACGTCTTCTAGCACACCGTGCCAGACGCAGTACCAACTAAGCCACGGAACGACCCAGCGGACCTCACGAATTCTTCTATGTGCTTGAGTCGTGTCTTTGTATTTGGTTTTTAGCTCTAAAAGACTAAAAAGTCATCTAAAAACTTTTTTAGACTTTTTATTTTAACTGTTTTTAGAAGCGCATTTTGTGCTCTATCGTATGTCACTAGAAACGTATATTTCACCATTTGGCACTTTGCCGCGTTTTAGTTAATAGACGGCAGATCATTTGTTTAGTACCTGTAAATCATCAGGGTACTCCATGTTAAGTGTGACCAACAGCGACGCGACGGCACCGGAGTCGAGCCGACGCCCGATGTGAGTTGCCAGCCGTTCCGCGAACGTAAATTTCCACGATTCCTTTAGCGACGTTATCGAGGCTGACAACAATATTATACTTTTTATTATCTCTAGTAATTTGACTGCCGAACTTGACTCCAAGATATAAATTAAAATTTCAAGCCACGTGACGCAAAACAACTTTGCTGCCGAGCGAAACACACAACTTTTCACCTCACTATAGCGAGGAAAATGGTAGATGAAAGAAAAACAGTTGAACTATAACAAATCAGTTTTCATAAACAAAATTAGTTACCGTTGTCAATTTAATGTCAACAATAATAAGAATAAAATATACCAACGGATTTATATAACATAAATAACGTACGACAAATCGCGTAGTTGAACGTGTCATTGTTTTTTTTCAATGGAAAGAAAAAGTTAGGTGCACCACAGTCCATCGTCAAGTACGAATTTTAAAATACTTTTATGCGCAGGTTTCTAATGAGAAAGAACGTCTTTCCAAACTAGCGAGGTGTATTTAGGAAGGAGGAATATTTTTGGAATATACGGAAACGTACTGTAGTCTAGGCTCTACTCTATGAGTAGAATCACTGGCTGAGTGAATATAATTTTGTATTTAGAATGTGTTTGAAAAAATGAAATAGAAAGAATAGAACATCTTGATAGTTCGTTTAAATGTTTAGAAATTTTGTTAGGATCATTCAGCCAGGCTAGAGTCGCTGAAATAAAGAGTTAGGATTTAGTCAGGTTCCCTAATTAGCTAGGATAGCTGACGAGTAATTATATTTTGATTTGTTTGATTGGGATGTGGTCATGGTCTGTCCTTTTAGATAGGTTTTTAGCAGACTAAAGCCATAGCCTCCTCGGTGGTTTACTTGTTGGTAAGGTAGTGGCTTCCGAGCAGTGTGTGGCTAGCCTATAGTAAAGGCTGATCACTTGTGTAAGTTGCCTATCATAGATAGGACACCAGCTAGGGATGTTCACCCCTTCAGTTGTGAGGAAGAGGGATGTAGTCTAGGCTCTACTCTATGAGTAGAATCACTGGCTGAGTGAATATAGTTTTGTATTTAGAATGTGTTTGAAAAAATTAAATAGAAAGAATAGAACATCTTGATAGTTCGCAATGTAACCCAAGGCTGAAAATATGTAGAAAAGTGCAATAAAGCAAGTTTTGAAGATTATCCCAGTTTATATTTACAAAAGTATCTCTCGCTACGCATCCTAAGCTACGCCTAGCTTACAGTACACACGGGTAAATTGTTGGCGCTGTATCATTTCAGTTTTGTAATTTGTGATTTCAGCGCAAACGAGAGTTGATATCTAAAAGTGACATAAGGCCCATTTGCCTGATGAGTTGCCAGGGATGGAGTGTCCTTATTTCGTCTCTATTTCTGGTTATATACGCGATGGTTAATATAAAAAAATACGTGTTTTCTATTATTTTTTGTGGTGGTGGACGTTGAAATTTTTTTATCTTGTGGTGGATGTCGAATATCAATCTGTCTCACTCTAATTCATGTTAAACAGCGTCACTATCTATCTCACTCTATCACATACGGCCATGTCACTTCCACGATGGTAAAGCCAATCTTTGAGTACACAAACGCATTATTTATCATGGTATAATTTTTTTTGAAACGTGATTCTTTGGCAAAAAATAAGTTATAACATTTTTTATGGAATGAAAAGTGGCAAGTACTGTACTATTTTGAAATCTTGATTAAATGGGCCATGTTTTCAAATAACTTGCCCAGGGTAGTGTAGTACATTTTTTTTAATATGAAGTATCATAGCTAGCTGATATAATTTTTTTAAGCTAGAACTTAATTTATTACTTACGAAACTTAATTTTTTTTTACTAAACCATAACCTTTACTGTTTGATTTGTGACTGCAATAAATAACGTGGTTATTTAGGATGACGTTAAAAAAAACACTGCAAAACTGAAAATTTGTGATGACAGTACCTAAACATGTGGTCTAGGGTATCGATTTTCAACATTTTCAAAAATATGCCTGTTATCACTTAACTAAGCGACATGGATTTTTTTTTATTTTTACCAGAACTGATATAACCTGGCCTCTCGCCCAGTACCCGCTTGACGTTGAGTTTTGGGACACCCTGTATAGTGAGGAGTTATTAAAGTTTCAATAAATACTAATTTAAAGTCCCACCCGTCGTAATGAAACATACATATTTTAATTTTAACCAATAAATATGCAATCTATTGGCATTTACTTTTGTAAAAGTAACAATTATGCTAAGGGTCATTATTTTGGCTTGGTTGGTCATTGTGCACGTAAATAGGAATGTAAATATTAGGATTTGAAAGTGTGTCCCACCCATCGCTGTGACGGGTGGGACACACTTCTGAACGTTTTTTCTTTGAATAAATGTTTGTATTTTTATGGATTCGAGATTTTACGATGTTTACTAGGTTTTAGGATGTTTACTGTTATACAGTTGCTTTAATTTTGAAGTTTAACATTGATGTGTTAAATTGTGACTAATTAAAACTAAAAGTATTAAACTACATTGACGGCCTCCGTGGCCGAGTGGCTTGCACACCGGTTTTCATGATGTCGCCAACTCTTGAGGTCCCGGGTTCGATCCCCGTCTGGGTCAGTGTAGAGAAAGAATCTTTTCTATATTGTCTCAGGCCTGGGTGTTTGTGGTACCGTCGTTGTTTCCGATTTCCATAACACAAGTGCTTTAGCTACGTACTTTGGGATCAGAGCAACGAATGTGATGATGTCTAATATTTATTTATTTATTTACGACATAGATAATCCAGGTTTTTTTTCAATTGCAGTAGCACCCCTTGGACAGCATCAACGCCTCCAAATTGCTTCCGAGGCCTCTACCTCCCTAGGAATCTTCAACGCCCACTGGGGGAAGTAGGGACCGCCACACTGACCCAAAGTGGTGGGACTTCACACGTTTTCCAAGGGTTGTGTACCTTCGAAAGCTTCTCCGACGTGCTGGTCTCATTACGATGTTTTGTTTTGCCAAAAAATTCAAGGTAAAAATCAAATTAAATTTCAGACATAAAGTCCGAAAACTCACGAGGTTTCGATTCGATTGCAGTCGACTCGGATTCGAAACCACCGCCATCTCGTGAGATTGTAGATCAAACCATAAAGCTACCACGGCTTTTAATTTAATATCTTAAAAACAGACAAAAATTGTTTACTTACAGGCATCATAGTTAGGATATTTCTCTTTGATGCAAAGAACGATCGCCTTTTCTCTAATCAATATGGCCATAGGCGAGGACAGAGCGGCGGCGAATGATTCGCAATCATAGCTGAAAGAATATCCATCTATTATTTACAATTTATCCTGGTTGCATAGCGGAGATGTTTGCTATGATCTATAACGGACTCCTGAGTGTGTTCATAGAACGGTGGGACTCCTCAATGATACAGCATTGGGTGCAGCTCCACACCAGGATATAATATTTCATTTTATTTTATTTTAACACTAGAGTTACCTATCAGTAATCCGAAATGACATTTTCCAGAAATAACGTTTGGTCGAAATTTCATAACATCGAAAGTAATTTTGAGAGGAAAATGTTTTTCTTTTAAACCTAACTTAACCTTACCTAACCGAACCTAATCGTGTCTTTACGATAAATATTCAACATATCCTGAAAGAACAACTGTTTCGTTACAATTCGGTTTTCGGTGTAATGAAAATGGAAGGGAAGGAAGATCTGACACGACTGGCGGAATACGCCCGGAAACACAAAGCAGAACTTCTGGTGAGATGTGATGCCAACGCTCACCACATAGCCTGGGGGAGCTCAGACATTAATAACAGAGGTGAGTTACTACGTGACTTTATCCTATCAAATTGCCTGTATCTTAATAACGAAGGATGTGCACCATCTTTTGTTACTAGGTCAAGACAAGAAATTCTGGACATTACTTTCGCTACGGCTAGGCTAGCCGGACTTCTAACCGGCTGGCATGTTAGTGGCGAGACGTCGATGTCGGATCATAAACACATAAAATTTGATCTGGGAGCAGGAAATGTCTGCCACCCCACTACATTTAGGAATCCAAGGGACACGGCCTGAGACGTCTATAGAGACAGACTAGGGCAGTATCTACAAGGGTGTTCCAAATCGATCAAAATCACTCAGAGTCTAGAGTTAGCTGTTGAGGTCACTTCCAAGGGCATCATCAGCGCTTTTGACGAAAGCTGCCCGCCAAAAACTCGGACCTCCAATAGGAAGGTTCCGTGGTGGAATGCACAACTGAGAAAGCTAAGAAAGAAAACTCGAAGGCTCTTCAATAGGGCCGAACTAACAAAGGAATGGGAGACCTACAGGAGGCCCTAACTAACTATAACAAGGAGATAAGGCAGGCCAAGCGAACATCGTGGCGGCGGTTCTGTGAGGAGATCGCTAGTGCTCCTCAAGGCGCACGTCTACATAGACTGCTCGCAAAAGCCAATTCCCATCAACCAGGACTGTTAAAGAAGCCTGATGGGACCATCTCGACTTCTACGATAGAAACCATTGAGCTTTTAATGTCAAACCACTTCCACTTCCCGGGGGCCTTGTGCGACACGCCCACTAATCCAGCAACGACGCTACATTCACCTCGTAACGAAGACTGGAACAGAGCCTCCAACATAATAAGACCCTGACAAGTGGCTTGGGCGATAAGGCTCGTTTAAATCATATAAATCCCCAGGTGAGGACAGTCTACTCCTATCTTACTGCAGCATGGCATAAGTGTACTCTTGCCATACCTGGTCAAGATATACAGAGCCAGTCTTGCCTGGGGACACATACCGATACAATGGACAACGTGTAAAGTTGTATTTATGCCGAAGGTAGGCAGAAAGGACTAATCTCTTGCTAAGTCCTTTAGACCCATCTGCCTAACCTCATTTTTGCTTAAGGCAATGGAGAAGGTACTTGACAATCACATTAGGGCTTCGTCCTTAATATATAGTCCTATCCATCACACTCAACACGCCTATCAGAGTGGAAAGTCCACAGAGACAGCTTTGCTCCACCTTGTGGACAGGGTTGAAAGAGCGTTTGAGGACAAACAAATAGTACTGTGTGCCTTTCTAGACAGGCAGGTGAAGGGCCTAACCTGCAAAGGTGTGGACACTTCAACCACGAGATGGGTACAGAACATGCTTTTAAGCCGCAGGGCCAGTATCTCGTTACATGGGGACCGGCTTGTGGTCTCCACAGTAAGGGGTTGCCCGCAAGGTAGGGTAATTTCTCCTCTCCTGTGGACTCTTGCTGCGGATCAGCTCCTGTATAGGTTGGCTGAACTGAATATTGACGCTCAGGGATATGCCGTTGACCTGGTGATCATAGTACGAGGGCACTGCCAAAGTACTATATCATCACTTATGCAAGGAGCACTTGAGACCATTTCCGCGTGGTGTCAAGATATTTGTCCCATTCACCAGGAGACGGAAACTAGACAAACTAGTGGAACCGATTCTTGGTGGCAGGGCTGTGGGCTATTACGCAGAAGTCAAATATCTAGGGATCTATTTTGACGTTACGACGACAGATTGTTGTGACAATGGGAAGAACTAGAACCACAGTCGTCTGACGATAATTAAAACGTCACGATAAAAATGTGACCACACATAATCGCAACGTCAAACGATTCTGTCGTGCACACGACAAGGAGGTTGCCGTGAACCGACAAATTGTCGTCACAATCTACTGGCAACAACTAGACACGACAGTCGTTGAACGATAAAATAAACGTCCACGAGACAGTCACGACATATAGTCGTAATATGGGAACTCGGGGTGATTCACGTAATCAAACCGTTACGATATCGTAGCGATTTAGTCGTTGAACTGCTTTTTCGTATTCACGTGTGACAGTGAACCTCAACGAGTCCAATTTTAAAGTCGTTCGATCCAAATGTCGTTAAAGCGTATTCTGGTATATGGTTCGAACTAAAATCGACTCTAAACGACAAGTCATACGTATTCTGCTAAAATTTTGACAGTTCTTTCAATAGACTTTCGACGACTAAATGTCAAATTTCACAATCCAAGATGTCACAATCCATTAGTCCTTACGTTTCGAATCTACTAATATCAACGTTCATTCAAGTGATACGTGAATTTTGAATAGGACTTCGATCGAACGACTACGTACCTTCAACGATACTTTGATAGGTTGAACTTACGTGAGTCACACTACAGGCTAGACGCGACAGTCGTCCAACAACGTTAAATAAAACGTTACGACATAATGGAAACGCGTCCTAACAAAATGAGCTTCACTGTCTCCAGCCAAATATATTAAAAGTATACAGTCTATATACTAAAGTACATTATAAATGTTTTTTTATGATGGTACGTGACAGGACGAACAAAGTTTTATACATTACGTAAATTGAGTAGTTGAAAAATGTTCAACACTTACCCTTTCTTATCAAAAACCTCCTTAGCTATATTCAAACTCTTCGCCCATGTGTTCTCCTGCAAAATGCCCAGGCAACTTGTGCACACCTCTTGCTTACATTTCTTTGCGGGAGGAGGTTCACTTATGTCGGAAGGTGGTGGAACTTCAAGTGATGGGATTCCTACAAAGATATTGAAAAAGGTTACACTAAGCAATGTATATCATCATTATTTATACTACTTAATATCTTTTATCAAATAGTCCAAATCTCGAAAGGTGCGAAAAAATGGCCATGCATATACACTATTCCTACTAAACATACGCTTCGCCCGCTCCGGGCATTATTTCTAGGGTCGGCGGACTAAAGCACATAAGTGAAAAATCCAACATCATTCATTTAAATTAATACATCTACCGGCTAAAGCACATAAGTCAAATTCATTAGTTACTCCATAAATTTGGAACTTAATTCCAGGTGTCTTTTTCAAATTTATAATTCTCTTTGCACCTTCTAACACTATAAACAATGCGAAAAAATATATAATTATATATTAGCAAATGAAGCGCTTTTTTCACTTATGTGCTTTAGTCCGCCAAGCCTAGATTTATACCCTCCAGCATCCTTCCCTCCCTGGTTAAATTTGTGGTGCCACTTGTATGAAAGAGACGGTGCCTTTGTGCAAGCAGGACATAGCATGAATCGAAACTTCAATAAAATATATCTAGAACTTTTGTGAACAATCACAAGGTTCTTTTTTTGTTACCATGAGCAGGATCCAGTTGTGGTGGGTCATTATTGGTCACTTCATTCTCATCACTGGTTATTGAAGCATTACCATTGGCTGAATCACATTGTGTGATTGTTTCATAGTTTTCTCCTTCCTTATCTAAATACTGGAATATATGTGGAGTTCAGTGTATTTATTCACTAAGTTTATATCATATCAGGATGTTTCATTTAATTTTGAAGGCTCTGATCAAATCCACCCATATCGAATACATTTTTCCATGTTCAATCTTTGTGTTAATAATTACAACGAAGTTTATATTGCATCAACTGTACATTTTACCATCGCACGAGTTGAGAGTTGAAATTAATATGGTGAATAGACTGCATAGTTAGCAGTCTAATCTGAAAATATTAGCTTTAGGAAATTCGTAGTCTTAATAATAAAAAATTTTTAATTATTGAAATATTCAAAAATAAATGATAAGAAACAGGTTTTGTATATTAGGAAAGTACGACGTTTGGTTGTTGCAGTAAAATTTTATATATAATGCAAAAAAATAAACATTTTCATAAAAAAAATGAAAGGTGTTTCGTTTCTTTTTTTCGCAATATTCAATTAAAAAGCTTATATTAATAAGTAATTGTACATTTAAGATAGAAATTTACTACATTTAGTATTTATGCTTTTATTTTTGAACAATAATTTTAAAACATAATATGTATTTTACATAGGTTAAACCTTGGTTGCGTCCCACAATCAGTAGGTTAGGTTAACTATTAACATGTTAACTTTAAAACTTTGCACGGAGGGTTCCCTCCCCACCCCCCTCCCAACCCGCAAATCGCACAATGGTAATGTACAGTCCTTCCTTTATATTAATCATTTTAAAGAAATTTTCCTAAAAGTTAGTAACGCACAGTCTAAAGTTGTTAACGCGATATGTTTTATGAAACATTTGTGTTTTAGGTTAGGTTTTAAAACAATCTATAACAAATCAAATTCATAGATTTTTCTGAGACTATCTTAGATAAGTACAATTATTACGTTTCAAACAGCCTTTGTCATGCCAAATAAACAAGTAAAAAGTGAGTAAAGACCGTAAAAACAAAACAAATCGTAAATACGAACTTTCAATACGAATTCGTGGCACTTTGCGTACGCTGAATCTTTTCTAATGCCTATAAAACGAAGGCAACACGCGTCGCAACATCCCAATGCTTTACACTGCTGCACTATACCTTTGGAATTCATTTTAATTCACAATTTAATCAAAAAAGCTAATGGAAAACACTAAGGTGTACAGCCGTTTAAACCACAAACTATCAAACAGAAGTTTTGACAGCTGTCATGTCAGATTAATAAAATTATTTTCTTCGATATAGGCATAAATCATAGCTCATACTGCCTTGTCCCGTGTCTACTAAATAAAGCGTATAAGTTAGTTTTTCGATGAATGCTGCATAATACTAATGTTCATTTTATTGTCAATAAAATAAATGTAGTTTGCAATTAAAAAGAAATAATTAAACGGTCATGCTTCAACGTGATTTATTAAGCCTACAAACATGTACCTGTATGCTAAGTATTGAAACTATTCTAATACTTTGTGTAATTTAGACATACGGTAGTGTGTCAGCCAACGTTCAAAAAAAGAAAATCCCACTGAGTTTGTATCATATTCAACAATAATTCATATTTAACGTATGAATGTACCCCTTATTCGCCTTAGGACAGATTCGCTTTACGACAGATTAGCTTTACCTCGTAATTTTGCGGTCAAATCGGGTTCCCTGTATATTCAGAATCCCACATTTTATAAAAATAAAAATCGAATGGCTTTCCAGATACTGAAGTTTTAATGTTACTTATTCTAACGATCGTCAAAAATGGCAATGAAAACCTTTTGATCATAACTCCAGATTACTAGAAATAATGAGCTAACCGTGAATTGAAAGCAGCCTTCATGTAGGAAATCTTGACAAAATTTAGAACATGTTCACATGACGAGAGTTCAACTGGCGTTTCGCTAACGCGCGCTTACAACTTACCGAATTTTGTACGTAAATCGCTGTAAGTGTTCACGGTGTGCGAGCGGCCAACGCGCGTTCAACGCCGCGTTAATGCAAGGCACAGCGCGCGCGTGAGATCATAGGGCTCACACGCGGCACGCGGGTCTTGGCGTTTTCCCTTTCACAGTGCCGAAGTGGCTACGAGAGGGTTAATCCACACCTCGAAATCGCAAACAGACGCTAGACCAAGCACTGTGAAAAGTACGGGTGGACCGATACAATAGATTTACCTGCGCGGTCCGCGCGCAACCGCGTCCGCACCCGCCTCGAGATAGGCGCCGACGCGCGCGGTCACTGTGAACGCAACGAGTGTCTACGTACATTTGATTTACGCACCCGTGCCCACCTCCACCTTGAATAAAGCCATAGTATAGTATATATAGGATTAGCATACATAGTATAGTATCATAGTATATATAGGATTGCCGTACTGCCGTTCAGTTCACTTGTTTTGTAATTGAAAGTTTTTCTAGAAATAGGTACAGAAGACTTTAATACGGATTTAAGAGTTCATCATTTATGAGAGCTAGTAAAGCATAATCTGACTTTAGGATATAAAGTTAGGAAGTGAATTTTACTGAGCCTGGCTAATAAAATGGGACATAATTACCCTTATTGTGTGCAAATACTATTTCTTCCAAATTATTTTCCTTTCCATTGTTTTCCGTGGATAGGTTTCCCGTTTTGCACTGGCACAAACGTAAACCGCGAAGTGCTAGAAAAGAAAGTGTGTAAATTCGCAAAATATTTACAATTTTTATACCACTACCCGCATGTCTGAACAAGTTCAAGGAACTTTAAGCAGTCACCACACTCATCGACGCAGAGTCGACTTGAGCCAGTTGCAAAAAGCTTATGAAACAAAATAGAAAAACAATTTATGCGACTTATCGTAGACAACGTCCTTTTCGTTCTTGTTGCATGAACATAAAACTTTTATACACCGAAGTTGGCACTCACTCAGTATCAATAACTGTACTTCTGCGTTGATCTGAACTTGGCCACTTTTCTACATAAAAAAAATTATTGGGATAATAAACAACGTTTTAATTTTATCAGTACTTTAATTTGGTTGCATTTATTTCAATAGTTATAAACCATGCGAGCTTTTCACGTGAGTACCAACCTGCACATTTGTTCATACATCACTACATCATACAATATTTAATAACAATCGAATCCGTTTCCCACGTACGAACAAAGAACAGCAAGGTCAGCTTAAAGTTATAAAATTTAAAAAGTAAAAAATGGACTTTATGGTTAATAAATCTATATTAAATGGACAACAGCACAACAAACAAACAACACCCAATTAAACTACTTTAATGTTTGGGATATACGATAAAATTTTGGTGGCACGTGAAATTCCACGAAATTCGTTACACTCCATTGACTTACAAATCTCAAACAATTTTTATTACCCATGTATTTCGATTATGCCTATGTGGTGTGCGGCAGTGTCACTGAGTGAAGAATGCGGTTTGAAAGAGGATGTAGTCACAAAAATAGAAAAGGGTATGCTGAGGTGGCTTGGGCACATGCGGCTGCGGATGAATGAATGTAGTTTAACGAAAAAAAATAGAGCTAATGCAGAAGGAATAATTGGAAGAGGACGGCCAGAATGACCAGTCTCTGATCAAATTGAGAGTGTTATTAAAAAGGCTGGAGTGCGTAGTGAGAAGAATAATTTATGACAAGGTTGATGAATGTAAGTGAAGTAAGAGAGGTTTGTAAGGATCGTGCTAAGTGGCGGTCGATATTCTCTACCTACCCCAATGAGAATCTAAAGGCGTGAGTATATAGATAATAAATATCTGCAAAGTTGGGTCACAACAGACAGCTTATTTTGCCATGACAGTTAGGTGCACGCGGTCAAGTTTCTTCGATTACTAATCTTTTACAGAAAAGCTAGTAAACATAAAGTATTAAGATTAATAAGAAGTATTATTTATTATTTTTCAGTTCATTGCATTAACTACAGCGCTAATTTGGCTGCCGGTGGCTGTCACTGAAGAGCAACACATAGTTTCACTTAACCGCATCTTAAAACGTTTTAAGTATAAATTTTCTACAGATTTCAATGAAATTGCTAATTTCGAAATTGAGGGTAAAAACTATGTAAAAACCATAACATTTTATGTAAATAATTCGCACAGTATTTCAGTTTTCCTCTTAGAGGATGGGTTTTCCTTCATTTCACCTATCAGCGAAAATGAATAACAATGTCTAATTCATTAATTACGTTGCCAGTCGGTGGCACCTAAGAATGCTCATTCATATTAACCAATTAGAATATGATTTTGAATATTTTAGCGTTTGAGTGTTGCTGTTTTTTGTACCTTTTTTTTAGTATCGCAGTGTTGCTGCTTAATGTAACATATCTACCACACTTTTGTTTTAAATAAATAAATAATAAATGCAGGTCAAAATATATTTTTTAATTACTTTGCTAAGCTCTTTATTTCAAGCTTACATCTAGCAAAAAAATTGAGGCTGGTTTAATTTTTCTGAGAATAAAGTACCAAGCTCCATACTAATTCGGTACAAGTCCTTTAAAGAAACTCAGGGGTCCGGATTCGAAGTCGAACCCACGGGCTCAGCTTAAACCATTAAGTAGCCTGGTTTCACTAATTAAATTGTATTGCCATGTATTATGTAATTTACAGATTGTCTTTTGTTTTGCAGCTAAATTTATCTGCACACCTAACGACTACAGTGACTCATTTAAATGGAACTTTGATTCAGCTATGCGATTAATAATATCATTACACGAAAGCAAATCTTTTAGACCTTTGCTCAAGGCATTCCAACGCATGTTGAAAGTCAATGGGCTATTGAAAAATAATGATCCCTTTGATGATCTCAAGGTGAAAATCCATTATTTTTGCTTTTGCAATGAGATTTAATAAGAGTGAGCTTGTATTCAATGTCCAGTGTACCGACTTCGATTCCCTATTTTTATTTTCCCTAAGAGGGTAGAAAATTAAACCAAGAAATCCGAAAATTGAATTAATTATAATAATAAAAAAAAAAATACAATTTAAAATTTAAATTAAAAAAAAAGGTACATAAATTTAGTACGGGTCGTGGTATCGTGCTTAAGACCTTAGGTTTTCCGCTTCCGAGTATGGTACTCCCCTGTATATTTGCCGGCGCAGAAGGACGGCCACAGGACGAGCAGCGTTCAGCGGATGTTGTTTCGTCCTAGTCCGGACGTAGTCAAGCTATGAGCCCGGAGGAAGCTCAGCAAGGTAGCAACTGTTAACCCGAAGGTAATTCAATCTGAGGGTGATTCACTCCGAAGGTAATTCACTCTGAAGGGAATTCCCTAAAGCAATCCACAAAAATATTTTTACAATAAAAAAAATATTTTTAAAATTACTTATCGGAATGCGAAAGGTGGACTGGCTCAGAGGACGTTGAAGCACTGTCTCTGAAGTCTGAGCCGGCGAGCACCGGCCACGGTTACCGCGCTCCCCTCTCTCTGCGTCTGTCGTCATTCAAAAATGCAACGTTGGTTGCCATAGATTTATTAACCAACTTTGTCTATGGTGCTTTAAATATTTTGTAATCAATTGTTATTTAAAAAATATGATACCTATATTTGTTGAAGAAATATTTGTATTCAATTTTTAATACTGATAACTTTAAAAAACGATTTATGAAAAAAATAATTTTACAACATTGTAACGTTCCGTTACACTAGAGTATTTGTTTTGCAAGAGGGTGATCTTAAGTCCGGAAGTTTTCAAAGGTGGATCAAGAAGACTACTCTAGAGAAAGAATTAAGGATGATTTGTAATGATGAGACTTACATTATCACAAAGCAGAATCCTCATTTAAATTGAAGATTAAAAAAGAACACTATGCAACGATCGTGAGGACTCGTGCAGAGGGTAGCATTGCTGGACCAATAATTGACACTGCATACAAAACTTGGTGTTGCCTGCTTTAGTCAACAGTCTCTAGGCAATATTTTATTTTCCGGCTTTGAAGAGCCAGGAGTGCTGGTGAAATTACAAGCACATAGAACTTGTCAACTTTATGTCTCAGAGTGAGTGACGCACTGGTAGTACCCTCTCAGATCTTTGCGATTTAAAGTTCTGAGAGGCACAGCAACTGTTAGGTACAGGTAGGCGTGTCGCTTACCACCAGGCGCACGACTTGTTTATCCAGTCACTTGATATTGTAAATAATCTTAGTACAGAGTACTAAAAAAACCGACCTCAAAAATACGTGGAATTACATTTGTTTGTCAAGTTTTAATGAAATCGGTTACCGGAAAGTGCACAAACCCGGATTCATCCTCTAGTTCGCCACAATCGGAACTTGACACAGGAGATAATAAAAATGGGTTCTCACTCCTCAAAGTATATTGAGAGAGAAAAACTAATATTAACATAATCCAAGCATTTTTATTATTTGCAGAAGACATTTTACAGTGTCAATTTGAACCATAGATCTACCAACCATAGTGTATATATATATATATATATATATATATATATATAACATTCGTCCATCCCTACAATTTACAACATCTCCTCGATAAGCCGCCGAGGTCGCCTGATGGTGCGCTCATGGCGCTTTGATGCTCGCTGTAGGGACGCCGTGGCAGGTGGCGAATGCGTAGTAGCAGCGCATGGCCGCATTGGGGTGGTAGCTGAGTTCTGCGTTCCTGACGAACTTGCAAGGGGTTCCACCTCACTGGTGTTTATATGATGCGGGTCGTGTGTGGCCTGAGAGCCATCAGTAGAAACTGGACTGATATGGTCGGCTAAGCGGGAACGCACTTGATCAGCATGATATCTCCTTTCTACCCCATTGGCTGTGTCTACGGTGTACGAGTATCTATGCGTACGTCTGGATATGGTAGCAGGTTCCCATCGTGACCCATCCCGGACTCGGACAAACACGCTGTCCCCCGATCTAAAACATGGTGTTAAATTTTCTGAATTTATATTAGCCTGTATCTGCCTATGCTGCAGGGCCTTTTTAGAGTTAGGGCGTGCGTTATCCAAAATACAATGCAGGTGACGTCCGAACATAAGTTGTCCTGGGCTCTTACCGGTGGTGGAATGAGGTGTTATGCGGTAGGAAAAAAGGAAATTTTCTAGTCGTCCTTTCAAGGTGAGATGGTCACTGGCACTTGATGATAGCCTGGATTTGAAAGTGCGAACCAGACGTTCAGCCAAACCGTTAGTCCGGGGATGGTACGGGGATAATTTTATGTGTAGAATACCCTTGTCTCTACAATAGTCTTGAAATTCCTGAGAAGTAAACTGTGGTCCATTGTCAGAAACCAAGAATTGAGGGAAGCCGAAGGTGGTGAAAATGGAATCTAACTCTTCACACAGTTTAGAAGTGGTTATCTGGTTCATGGGTTTAATTTCGACCCATTTCGAAAGCGCATCTGCTAAGACAAACCAATATTTTCCCTCGAACGGGCCTGCAAAATCAATGTGTAGCCTTTCCCACGGGTTGTCAGGAACGGACCACGAGTATATAGGCAATTCAGCGTTGTTCGGCCGATTCTCTTGGCATTTGCGACAACGTTTAATGTACTCCTCAATGTCATCATCAATGGACGGCCACCATACGTAAAAACGTGCTAGCGCTCTCATTGCGGATATGCCTGGGTGTCCTGTATGCAGATATTCCAAGGTGGCCTTTCTCAGGGTGTTCGGTATTACTATTCGACCTTGCCACATTAATATCTTATTTTCAATGGACAACTCAGTGCGCTTCCGAGCATAGGGCTTTAAGTCATCTGAATAAAAATTTTCACGCCAGCCGGTCTTAATGTACTCTGATACCTGTTTAAGCAAAGGGTCCTTCCTTGTCGCGCCTCGTACACTGTCCTCTGTTAACGCAATATCCGAAACTCTTTCATGCTGCAACTGAGCTACCACTCTGTGTACTGTCAATTCTGCATTAGACGGTTTATCTTCTGGATTGGGCATCCTAGAAAGAAAATCAGCCATAAAATTTAGATGCCCTTTTGTAAAAACTATATCGTAGTCATACCCTCCAATGATTAAAGCCCAACGCACTAGACGGTTATTGACAATCTTCGGCAAGTTACGTTGTGGCCCCAAAACGTGAATCAATGGCTTATGATCAGTGCTAAGTATGAATTTGGTACCACGTAAATATTGATCAAACTTTTGGATTCCAAAAAATATTGCTAAAGCTTCTCGGTCAATAACTGAATATTTAGTTTCCGCTGGTCTTAGTTTCCTTGAAGCAAAAACGATAGGTTGAATTTTGTCTGCCGATTTATGATATAGGACGGCACCCACACCTTTTTCCGAGGCATCGCAGGCTAAATACAATGGGCGCTTTTCGTCAAAAGCAACAAGCGGTTTCGATTTACTAATAAGATCTTTTGCGTTCTTAAAACTCGTATTTTCTTTGACGGTCCATTGCCACTTCCGGCGACCACCAGTCAATGCATGCAGACACTATGTAGGTGAGGAATAAATTTCTCGTAAAAATTTATAAGACCTAAGAACGACCGCAGTTCTTGGGCGTTAGTGGGCGGTGTCGCTTTCATTATTGCATCAATTTTCGATTTCGTCGGCCTAATTCCGTCTTTAGTAATTGTGTGCCCTAGGTATTCAATCTCTGTCTGGAAAAATGAACATTTCTTTAAATTGACTTTTAAGCCCGCCTTATCTAGTTTGCTAAACACGGTCGATAGCGTTTGGAGGTGTTCAATGTCATTTTTCCCTGTTAAGGCAAGTTCGGGGGCCCTTCCGTCCGGCGGATCAGCGCAACTTGTCTGTAGGCAAGTCTCTGGGGAAGCAGGCCCCGCGATTTGACCGCTTGTGTCGCGGCACTGTTTTCTCGCTTCACGCCTCTTTTTCCCTCCAACATGTTAGCGCAAAGTACAAATTTCGGTCGTACAGCGGTGCACACCCCCACCACTAAAGCGCTCTTTAAGGTGGAGTTCACGAACATTCGAGGACTCCACAGTAACATCCACGCCGTCCATCAACATCTTGAGACGGCTCGACCAGAAATGCTGTTCCTTACGGAGACGCAAATACTCTGCCCGGCTGACAGCAGCTACTTGAATTACCCTGGCTATATGCTTGAAGAGTCCTTCAAAGCGAAAGCTGGGGTCTGCTTGTTTGTCCGGGCAGATGTTTGCTGTCGCCGTCTGCGTCATTTGGAGGACCCCTCCTTCTCCATCCTTGGGGTACATGTTGACCTGGGCAGTCATTGCCGTGTCTACATGTGCCTCTACAGATCCCACCACGGCGACATGGAGACAACTCGTCTCATAGACCACCTTACTCGGGCGGCAGATGACGCGCAGGCGCAGTTTCCTACAGCGGAATTGGTGTTTTTAGGGGACTTCAATGCTCACCACGAGTCGTGGTTAAGTTCCTCTAAAACTGACCATGCTGGAAGAACTGCCCACACATTCGCTCTCACACACGATTTAACCCAACTGGTAAACCAGCCCACCCGGATTCCAGATAGGGTTGGTGACGCGCCCTCTTTGTTGGACCTTCTGCTGACGTCTCGCCCGGCTGGATATCGGGTGGAGGTCCAAGCCCCTCTGGGCACTTCGGATCACTGCTTGATATCCACTAAAGTGGCAACGTTACTGCCACCACCACCTACTGTGGCTAAACGCCGCATTTGGCATTATGCGTCGGCAGATTGGGACGGTATGCGGGACTATTTTGCATCCGTTCCCTGGCGGCAGCGCTGTTTTAGTGAGGTGGATCCAACAGCTAGCGCGACTGCCGTTGCTGATGAGATCTTAATCGGGATGGAATACTACATCCCGCATTCGGATCTCGTCAGTAAAGGGAGGCGCAACCGCTGGTTCAACCGTGAGTGTGCTGTGGCTGTTGAGAACAAACAGACTGCATACCGCGCTTGGATCAGG